CGGCTACAGCATCTATCTTCATATTTCGATAAAAAACATTCACATGAATATTGACATTTAGAAATGAAAATAAAATTAACATATTTAAAACTTTAATGAAAAGTTTTTTTTCACCAAAAATATGTTCTCAACAAAAAAATACAAAATACTTTAATTAAATGTCAAATTAAGATTTTTAAAATTTAGCTTCAATTCTGCGCCGTTGGACTAACTTCTTGAATTATCTCTTATTCTATTGTTTGACTCTCACTAACCAAGGGATTAATCAAAATTAGTACCTGTGTTCTACATTTAAATATGCCCATTTTTTGTTTTTCTCAAAAAGAAGACTGAAATGGAAAAAGTCCCATTTTCAAATTAGACCCTGGATTAAGGGTTAACGGCCAACATTTAATTTTTACCATATTTTTGATCTGTTACGTTGTGGGACTTTTTGTAGTTTTAAATAAAAAATAATTATTGTAGTTAGTTTTGTTTTTGTTTAATTGGTCTGCTCCATGGCTAGCTAAATCTTTTAGAAATTCCAAACGAATGGGCCGTTTCCAAACCGCGCTGCGGATAGCTTAATCGTTATATAAAAATGCTCGAGCAACTACAGGAACTAACATATATTGTTGTTATCTCCACACTACATAATGCACAATTTTTAATAAATTGTGTCAATTTTTTCTTAATTTCTCACATTGAAATATTCGCCTTCTTTCGCCGACCAGCAAAATTGTTCACAGTTTTATTGCAAAAAATTATCATCGCAAATGTTAAATGATGTGGGAGTTATTGTATGGGTTTTATTCACATGTAGAATGAATAAATATCAGTGATAGGGGTGGGACCAACCCGCAAAACTTCCACCGGAGTGCCTAGAACAACACTTTGATACTGACCACTCTTCGAGCTTGCAGCGCTTCCCTCTTTTACTAACACATTTTAATAGAAACCTTGAAAGAACATTACGTTTACAAAATTACATAGAATTGATCTTTACTCGGCAGGAATCCACGAAAGTCTTTTTCTCAGTGTTTTACAACCTATTTTTGCTTCTCAATGGAAAATTTAAAATAGTTTAAATGCCTCTCCAATGAGATCTACATCTACAAAAACCCCCGTTTAGTCCCCCAGGTACATTAAACGAGTTACGATAGAGCTTCGGCAGCAGGGTGCAGAGCCATCAACCTATCGGGCCAAGGCATTTTCGACGCGAAACTTTATGTTTCCAAGAGTGTACATATTACAGAAACAAACGAGTGAATGATTTACTGTTTTATTGTGTTTTTACTGCGTTAGAAAATGCAATCCTTCTTGCTTATTGTTAGTCAATTTGATGTCTGTTTGGTTACTTTGGAGACTCGAAGAGACGTACCATTTATGAAAGAATGGAGTTTTTTTTATATTAGTGACGCATTGACCTTGGGTACTGCCACGAAAGACGCGGCGTTAGAACTGCAACGACAATGGTACCACATTTTGCTTCACTAAACAGGCGTGGCTCTAAAGTTAACATCACACCCATCTGTTCAAAGAGGATACCGTATCAAGTTGATTGCAAGCGATCCATTTGCTCGTTCCATAAGGCGCCCCATTTGCTTCCTCGAGCGCGGTGAGTACCCGCCTCCTGTGTCCGCTCGCGGCGGACGTAGAGCAATGGCCCTGACGGCTTCGCTTTGCTACTTGAGAACGGAGTAAGTGATAATGTGTAATGACGTCATGTGTACTACCATTGCAGAACTACGAAATCAAAATACATTTGGTCTCTTCACGCTAATATTCCATTCCTTCGTAGCTCCATCCATTGTTACAATTACTACATATAAGCGAGCTAAATATGTATAAAATGCAATAAATTAAAAGTGTAATGTAGATTTCTTTCCGTAAAACTTTGTATCATACTAATGCCATTATTTCTTACCGAATAGATATAGCTCCTTTCTTACTTTCTCACCTTTTACGTACAGACGTAGTAAAGAAAAAGTATTGTACAGCTGGAGCTGTAAGGAGCAGGTTTCGTTACAAAAGCTGGCATTATGAATCTCTGATATGAGAAAAAGGGGATACATTTTGTACAGACTTGTAGTAAATTATTTATAACAATTCAATTTCCTTCAAGCAAAAAATTTGTTTACGGGAAAATGTCTGTCAGTCTGTCAAAACTAGCGCCTAAACAGTTCTCACGATTTTCCCCAAATCTCACATTCCCTTATCAAACTGACCAACCAAGAGGCCCTCCGAATTTGAAACTGGTATATTGTAAAAGTGAAAGTCGAAGTATGTATAAGGGATGACGATAGGACAATGAAGAGGAACGAAAAATCGCGCGTGGTCCTTGGTCCGTTTGTTAGGGTACTGAATCATCATTTGCCTAGTGTTGCTAAGAGAAACCACCCGTCGTGGTTTCCAGAAAACCGGTGTCCAGAAAACTACCGGTCGGCTCTGCCGACGCTAGAATACTCCTCCGCATAAGGGTTGAATTCGACCTAGCTATTGTCAAAAAAAAAAAAAAAAAAAAACCTGCCACCGTCGAGACACCAACCCGAGGAACTCCCAGTCAAATATGCCACTGCAGTAACCGAGTAAGTAAAACTAAGACGAAGGAAGAGGAGTGCGCTGCCTACCGTAGAGGTACTTCTCGAACCCGCGGAAGGTGTAGGGGCCCTCGTAGGCTCGCGTGCCGAGCGGAGGCCCCGCGCGCCGGTGCTCGTCCACCAGCCGCTTCACCAGCACGTGCTCGTTGGCGCGCCCTGCGCGGATCTGCAGCCGCTTCAGCTCCAGCAGCTGCTGGAAGATCAGCCGCTCCGTGTGGTACCTGGAGGCAGAGGCAGACGCAAGCCCTTGTATCACATCTCAGAAACAACGAGCCTTTTGGGAAGTACCTTGGAGGGAATTTTGAAATGCTCACTTTTTCCCGTCTGGACAGTAAATAAAGCTGCATGTATTCGCAAATCCTCTGCAGTTTATTGGTTAATTTATGACAAATTATATTATTATTATTATTATTATTATTATTATTATTATTATTATTATTATTATTATTATTTTCCTATCGGCCATCACTGACCACGCTACACGTTTTCTTCCGTGGACCAGTAGAATTCTACCCTGGAGAGAGATTCACCTGTACCATTATGGGGATCAGCTTTTCTGCTGTATCCATGGGTAAGACAAAGTTACGCCTTGAATTATGAATTATGATGTGGTAGGATAATGATGTATGGTGAAGGGACAATCACAAATACGACCATGCCTGCGCAGGACTCAAACCTGCAGCCTTTTCGGCGCAGACGAATGCAGCAAGCTGACGGGACTGACTATTATTATTGTTATTATTACTATTATTATTATTATTATTACTATTATTACTATTATTATTACTATTATTATTACAATAAAATAAAAATGTAATTATTAATCCCCAAAATGATTGATATTTCCGGGTACGTCAACTGCCATGATCATTAGTGTAGTAAGTGGTGTTATCTCAGGATATGGCGCTGCTTCTCCCTCATCGGATAGTGAGATCCGGCCCCGACATACATGTCGACTTGCAAGAGATATCCTTATCCAGGTATCTCTTCTCAGGTGTGGTTGTGTAGTGCATGTAAGTGGAAGTGAGTAATAGGGTAGGGTAAGGACGAGGAAAAAAATATGGCGGGTGGTCCGTTGTCCATTTGTTATGGTATCGCTCCGGCTTTCCCTGATATTTATCGAACAAAATACGAAAAAGTATCGATCAGAACAGCCGATCGCTAGAATTCTCCTATAGACAGCGCCTGAAGTCGACCAAGCTATATAACTAGTATCAAAAATTCGCCAGCGTCCGTATTGGAATCCTAGGACACTCCGGTCACACCAGCTGCAGAGACAGCGGCCCTAAATTAACAACTACTGATTGCAGGTGTCGAGTACATATAAATTATACTCCAGATTGAACGAACTTTTTAAAGTTGAGATCCAGTGTCTGTGGATGCTTCTATTTTATATATTCTTTACACTTTGTGTACAGTATGTGATGTTGACAAGAATGCGATTACTTGTCCCTCCCTTTAAGTGTCATGGAAGTTTGGACACGTTCTTACAGAATCGTTGTAGATGAAATCCCAGAGCTGTGATAACTAGCCGTGGGGTATGAGTTTTTACAAACTACATTCCGCTGATCTCGCTGTCTCCTCGCATTGAAGACATTTATATGCCTCCTTGGTTACGACGTTCTGGTCAAATGGCACAACGACAGCTACAAGTAGTACGATTTGTTCTTCGCGAATAACACTATCCGATTTGGTTGCTGATATCTCACGATATGGTTTTTTGGCCATACAATATTGTACGTACTCCAACAGATGTGTGAGTGATTGTGGTCAGTTCAAGTTATTGGTTTTGTTGAGTTTCCAACAACTTGTGTTTCGAACCTTTAGGGGTTTTCAGACCTACCAGTGTATGTAGAATCAGGTAATCTCTTACTATATTATAAAGGGATTCTAACAATCGTTTTAAAGAATCGCGATGGAGAAAGTACGGGAAACTACCAGTACTAGAGACACCAAGTAATAAAGCAAAAACGCCAAAAATGCTTTAAGAGGCGACATTGTCAAGTATTGATTCCATATTGACGGACTATTTGAACTACGGTTTAAGGGTAAAAATTTAACCAGTAAACACATCGAATGTGTACTGGGAATAACTATTCTCGTAATAGTCGTGGCACATCGAAGTTTCACTAAGCTTTTATTAGCAAGGCTTCAGAACATTACACATTTCACAAATCAAAAAGTAGACAACAATGAACTTAGCGTTGTACGAGAGTGATTTCAAACGTATTAGCAAATTGAATACTTTCGAAATGTATACTTGAATAACAAATAAAAAACGTGTATCTTTTTTCACAAAATCTCTACTTCTCAATAAACTAGCCTCGCCCGGCACAGAGCCACAGGGAGGCGAGCCACACTGGCAGTGGCGCGAGCGGCTTCGTTAGCCCAACTGTGTGTCGAGAGGTCCTTTTGGAGAATGGAAGTTTTCGGGAGCAGGCCACGTGTTTTGATACTATGTCTTAACGTAAAAAAATTCCATAGCATTACAAAGAGAACGTAGATTTGCAAAATTTCCCGAAAATTTTATGACGCAGCCGGCGAACTCGTGTGTCTGGAATCTTCTAGAAGTGCGTAGAGTATAATCCTAGCAGAGGACGATTCGGCAATTTCCATAGCACTCGTGATATCTATTATAATTTAAAAGCACTAATGAATGTGTACAGTAATATAAAGTGTCAGTAAATGTATTACATTATTTAATGTGTGTGAGGACATTTCTATTACCAATTAACTCAGTAACAGTCACTTGGCGGCGTGTTTCAATAGCCGTAAAAATGTCTTACCAATAGAAGTAGTGGATAGTTTTCCTCTAAGGGAGAGCTGCCCCGACTCTAGAAGGTTAAGAGCTCACATGTCCAAGGTAAGTAATTTCAATACGTGGATACGTCATTGAAATTAGGCGCCCAAATTCCCACTGCCTCGCGCCAAATAAATCCTTTGCCACGACACATTATATACGAGAACTATCGTATCCCTCGCACGGGCTAGAGGGGTCTGCACAGTATGTCAGTATGTCCCACTTCGAATAGCAACATCAGTCACACCTACATCATCCAGTTTTTCTCTAAAGAAGATATTACTTTTTTGTAGAAACACACATTGTACTGTTTTTGTGTAGTAAGAATGTGTTTACTTCCCCCAAAATATTAAACGGAATGCGATATAAACAATCTGGGAGCTAAATATCAAACGAATTTAGATTATAATTGTCCTTTCTGGCTGAAATTTGAAAAGGAAGCTATGAAGATATTTTGAGTAAAACATTTTTAATCCGTCTGAACTTAAAGATTTGTGCCATTTCGTTGAGGGTTTGTTGAATACGCATATTTTAAAATGAGACATAGGTAGCGCTTGTGTGTGTGTGTGAGTGTGTGTCCGCACGCGTGTGTGTATGTGAGCGCGCGCGCGTACGTGTGTGGGGGCGGTAATATTAAATTTGGGGTGCTATTGAATTTTCTTTTACATTTTTTAACGCTATATCGGGTTATACGAATCCTGAGTATTTATTTGATGCACTGCTGGAAAGGAGAGTTATATTATATTTGATCATTCTGCATCTAACATTTGGGTGAAATTTTCTTTACCTACTACTTGTTCTTAGTGTCTCTTATACGAGTACGATTACGAATATTCAATCTCTACAACGGAAGGTATCTAGAGATTTGTTGTGTTTAAAAGATTCATGACATTTGTTGGGATTCAACTCAGTGTAGAAGATGCGTTAATATTCATACAAGAGAAATGATATTGAAGAATCCTCATATATATTTTATTATTTAAAGGAGCGTCTGGTTGCGATCGACATGACGCAATGACTTGAGCAACAAACAAATAAAAATTAATCCCAGCAAAAGCAACTTGAAATAAATAGTGTTTGAATTTAGATATCATTTAGAATACACTGTGTTTATTATTAACTCTGGAAGCTTCACAAACAGAATTTTAGTAATGACAACCAATGCTTGTATTCGTGTATGGTTTTTCTCTCTTCTATTTTTAATTTATTGTAGTCATTTAAAAGATCTTGATTTCGCACATAATATTTTGACCTTTATTCTTAAATTCAAATTTCAAGAATCTGAGAAATATAATCGAACTAACTGTGACGCTAGGAGTTTCTAAGTACACTCTAGAAGACCCTTACTTCTATACTTTGATTTCTATAATGGCCGATGACATAAGGTCACTGTTACACCTTCTGTCTTATAAAATTAATCTTCTTAACTGATTCGCGAATGTCCTTCTGAACAGGGCTCGAGGCCTCAGAAATGTGCTTACTACTGTTAAAAAGATTAGTTTTATAAAGCAGGATGTGTTACCATGACGTAATGTCAGCGGTCAGTATACAGAAATCGATGTACATTCCGTCAAGTAAATTAAAAAATGTCAAATAGGTATTACATCTCAGTTCAAACTTTCCCTCAGTATATTTATGTCTGACTTAATCCCGAATTATTGATATGAATCGATTAATTGATTTCATATGCCCCTTGACGCTCCTGTTTTCTCTCCCTAACACGTTGTGTGAAAAGGCCCGTTCCCTGCTGCGCGCACTCACTTGCGCACGCTGTGCTGCACGGCCTGCGTGACGGAGGCGGAGGAGAGCTCGGGGCGCGCGTCGCCGGGGCCGCCGCCTGCAGGCATAGGGCGGCGCGGCGACCGGGGCCGCAGGCGGGCGCGCCCGCGGATCCCGAGGGGCGCCGCGCGCAGCCGACCCCGATGCAAACGTCCCTGCCGCGCCGACGCTCGAAAGCCCGAGTCCGCCCACACGTGCGGCTCACTCGACCGACGACGTGCGGCCGATTCCGTCGCTCCAGCGTCACGCATCTCCGCCCGTTCCCGTTGTGCAGCGTCACCGCCGATCCGTCCGTAGTCCGTCCGTCCTTCCAGCAGCCGCTGTGTCCGCACCCCCCTCCCCAACCCTCCCTCTTGCCGTCCCCTCGTCTCCGCTTCCTCTCCTCTCCCGCTCCCTTCCGCCCCTCGTCCTCCGCCGCGGAGAGCTGGCGCTGGCGGCGCGGCCTCCTCGCCTGCCGGCGTTCCTCCTCACCGCCGCCCTCGCCGTCTTCGCCGTCCTCGTCGCTGCCCGCGCGCTCCGTCTCTCCTCCGTCGTCTTCTTCGAACTCGTCGCGCGAGTAGGCAGCTTCCTGGTCGTCCTCTTCCTCCGGGGACCTGCGGCGGAGAGTCGGGGTCAGCACAAATTTAATACTCATTTACGATACAGTACAGTCTGCTCCATTTTCAGTGAACATTTCTGCATGACTGACATTTGAGCTCGGTCGGACAACAATTTGTTCTGAGTCGAAAGTTCTGAAGAGATGAATGAATGCGATTCTTTAACGAGGTATCCTCTGAATGGATGAGATGTTTGAAGGTTGATGACATATGTCAGAGCTTGCCTGCATGTGTGTTTTATGCAAATTCGAATGATCAGTTTCGTACGATTCCTTTCCGTAGATATGCTTCATCTGTTGCTGATCGGATGATTAAATTTTGAAACGTGTTCAAAATTAATGGTCCGTAATAATACCAATCTTCAACATTTTTAAAAAATTCAAAATTTTGACTTCAATTTTTATATGAATTGATTTGTTTTTTCTTATTCTGATAACATTATTCCTCAATTATAAGTTGTTTCTGATAACAATTTTTGTTTATTCATTCTACGTGACGATACACGTAACTCTTCCCTGTTGCAGGAAATAGTACGAAGAATGATCATTGGAGGTAGTGAACCTTTCTGATGTCATGTGATTTCATGTTTTATGCTCGTATTTTTCAACTGAATTTAATTTTGAAATTTGTATGTAGATCTATTTTCTGATCAATTAGAAACTGTGAATGCGATTTCATAGAAAGAAAATTTGCCTGCCTTCATTCTTGCACCCCGTAGCGCGATTGTTCTTCGTTTGGAAATTTTTCAATGGAGAGAGTTGAGAGGAAGAAGTTGAAGAGAGAAGAATTTGTTGCCGAAAGTCGAGTTAGATGCTACCGGCGTGTGGTGACAGCCTGCAGCGTTGATCGTTGTGCCGATGATCGGCAGAACGATGACGGCGCAGGGTGGCTGCTCCATCTTCCAAGTATTATTCCTTGGCGGTGAAGATGTCGAGAGTTGTGTGCCCGGATACTGTACCGAATAATTTGGTCAAATTTGATGAATTTATTTTTTTTCCTTTTTTCTCAGCTTCAATTTTCATTTTTTAACGCCATTTGATTTCTTGGCAAATAACAAGATTTGTAAAATTATTTAGTGACGTGGGAGGTACCAAGCCCTACAGAAGGCCAATTAAATTGCTTCTAAAGTGTAGGAATTAATGTGAAAGATTTTTTTCTAGCAAAGTACTTGATTGTGTTTTGATCGTGATTCTTCGAAAATCTCCAAAAGGAATACTGACAATTAAAGGAAGATATTAAATATCGTCTGAGAACACACGAAATATTCGAAAGAAAATAACGTCATTTGTTAAGTAGATGTATATTTTTCATATTTTATGAGTGAAAATTGTGTAGCGTCTGCTTGTGAAAGTATGAGGAATGTACTATATGCATTTTGATTGTCTCCTATTTCTATGAAAAGATGTCCACTCTTTGTTTTCAAATTGTCTCATTAAATGAGGGGATAATAGAATTCGCTGTGCAAAAAACTATCCGATAAAGATGCTTTTTTAAACACAAATTTGTTTATTAATTTTCACACGTAAGTATGTTGTTCCGTTCGTTTATTTCTTATTTTCTTCTTATGTTATAAGTTATAAGGAGAGAAAATAAGTAATTATTTTGATTTGGATTTCTCATTGACGAGTATTTTCAATATACAGGATATATCAGAAAGTGTAACAAACGTTTGTGTTACAAACATGTACAGGAGACGAAGATGATAATTTTTACCTAATGAACCTGTGGGAAATTTCTTCAAAATAAGTTGCATTTGTTACATTTTCTCTTTTGATAAGCAATTTATCATGTATTGTTGTTTAACATATTCACGAAATCTCTTCTATTGCGCCAGAACGTTGACAGCCAAATATCGGTACATGATGACTATCAATCTGGGGCAAAATTTTCCACCATATGATCATAGACAAAAAATTCTCATCTTTGATACCTCTTACGAGGCCTAAATTCTTTTATACTTATTATCAATAATGAAATTCGTTTTCAGTTAAAAAAGTTAAAAGATTTTTTGTCTATCAATCATATTTCGTGGAATGAGATTACTTTCTCGCCTTCAACATACCTTGTAAAAAGAAAGAATTGTATTGTTACAGCTTTCAGCTGCGATTTTTTGTCAGGAAAACTTGTAATGTGGGGATCTGATTAGTGTGTTAAAAGTGAATTGAATTAGTGTGTTGAGTGGTTTAAAAAAGGTTTTCTCAAAATTCGCTTCATTTTTGTCTTTTATATTTTCTCGATTGACACGACAAAATTATAATATTGGTGAGAGATTTTTCTTTAGTAAAGCCTGTTCTAAAATTTACATATTTTAAAAAACATGCACAATATTTTGAAAACACAAATAGTTTTTGCGTAATTTGTGTTTGAAGAAATGTAAATTTACTAAAAAATCTTAAACGGTTCCAATTGTTTTTACATTTTTTCCTCGCATAGAGCAAAAAAAAAAAACGACTACAAAAAAAGAAGGTCCCATTTGAATTTGTTGCTGAATTTCCAAAGATTGCAAAAGTTAGAAATAATGGGAAAAATATTTGCTGCTATGGCATCTTAGCTTCTCGTGTATTTTATCATCTTGTCTTTTCACAGTATTGTATTTGTACGGCTGTTCGATTGTATGGTCAAGTTGTTATTTCTTCATTTTCCCCACAAAAACGTGAAAAACGATGTGAATTTTGATATATATATATATATATATATATATATATATATATATATATATATATATATATATAGTGTGTATATGTACGTGTGCCATAAATATGTCTTTAGAATCCGTAAAAATATTTCTATTTATTTATATCAAAAATAGAAGAAACCAATTTGACATTTACGGGATATGAAAGCTTATTTCCTTGTCCAGAAACGAGGAGAGGAACAAACATTCGCTGAATGGATCATGGGAAATGAAATTATTTAGATGTCAATCTCCTCTCCATCCATTTTAATATTTTTAGTTTTTCAATAATTTAATTGTGTGTGCATTCAGTTATATAAGTTTATGCATTTTTCTTGTTTGTCGCCCTTAAAATCAGCCCTTGAAATCTCGCCTCTTAATATTAATAAATGTTGTCTTACGGATAGTTCTGTTTTGTAATAGTCGTTCCTTATGTAAAAAGTAATGTTACTTTTGTTGAGAATTTTTGATTTCCCTACATTCATAGTATTTTTTGCATTTCTTAAGAATTATTTTCGTCATACAATCATGTAATAAATATAAGAAATGTATGTGAAAGTGGATAATTTGGAGATAACGGTATTTTCAAAACAGTAATTATAACAATTTTGATGTATAATTTAGAAAATCAATCCGATATACAAATAAAAGAAAAAAACGAAAAACTATTCGCGTTTCATAACAGGTAAATATAGATTTTTCTATTATAACATTTTTTGTACCGGATACGATAAATTTATGTGGAATATATAGCGTTTAGTACAGATTTTAAATTCAGCTAAATCAACGTCAGAGATGCCCAGACGGGAAGGGGCATCTGGAGCAATTTGTCTCTGGCCCCTTCTTCATTGTGGTACCGAATTATTTTTAATTCAAGTCAAATAAAAATGTATTCACACATCATTAAAATTAAACTCTACCAGTAATTTCTGTTGGAGAAAAAAATTCAATTTATTTTATATCGGGAGAGGCAGAACTTTTGTTTGAAATAAGAAGCCCCCTGGATGAATTGTCCCAAACCTCGTGTTTTATCTGGGCGCCCCTTTAAACGAACCTTTGTTTCAACGTTCTCCAAAAATCCACTTTCGTTATCCATTCCCTCAAAATCACATTGATTGCACTCACTTAGTATCCGATTTCTTGGACGCCGCTTCTGATTCCCCGTTTTCGCCTTCTTGCTCCCCTGCATCTTTCTCGTCTTCTGCCTTTGTCTCTCCATCCACGGGGCTTGGGGCATCGCCTGGCCCTTCCGCGGCCTCCGCCGGCGCCTCCTCCTGCCCTGACGGGGTTCCTTCTTCTGCTGGGCTCCCCGCAGCCTCCTGCTCGCCTTCGTCGTGCTCGGCCCCCTCACCATTGGCTGCGTTTTCATCCTCCTTCTCTTCTTCTCTCTCTGCTTCACCTTCCTACGAACAACAGAAATCGTTGTATTTGGAGTCCATCTTCTCCACGAGCACATATTACGATGTTCACTACTAAAGTTTTTCGACGGTTCACTCAAGGTGCGCCGCGACACTGCAGAATGCCTCGAAAATACTTTAACAAATAAACTAGTGGTCCTAGCCTCTCGGGTGGCTCATGGACCCTATGGTAACTTACCGTGCGGCGATCCAATGCAATTCAACCTTATTTTAGAGAGACTCAGGGCATCAGAGAATTTGAAACGTACCATGCAGAAGTTCACTCTTAGATAACGTCTAATAACTGATTACGATATTAGTTAAGAAATTAAAAATGAATATACTAATAGAAACCTTTAATAAGAATTAGGGAAAAGGATCGCCAATGGCCACTTTATACTATGATCTTTACTACAATCCTGCCGAAATTCTGCTACAATCCAGCTGGGAATTCAGCAGGAAATCCAGCCTGGAATCGTGCCGGGAATCGAAAATGGGCCTTTGTATTTGATAATCGAATATGTTGACCACGAGCCGCACAGAGGTACCGAGAAAAGAAGTACTTGCCTTGATTTTCTCTTACCTCTTTCCCCGCGTCTTCCTCTCCTCCCTGCGTGGCAGGCGCGTCCTCCTCGACCTCCGCCGCCTGCCCTGCCGCCGCCGCCGCCGCCTCCTCCTCGTCTCCTTCGCCCTCCGCCTGCGCGTCGACGGCCGTCGCGTCCTCGGCGCCGTCGCCTGGGGCGTCGGCGTCTGCGGGGGCGGCCTCCGCGCCCTCGTCCGCGTCCTCCTCCTCCTCCTCGCCGTCCTCCTCGCCCTCAGCCGCGCCTCCGTCTTCCTCGTTGCCCTCGGTCGCCGCAGCCTCGCTCAGGGCCTCCACTTCCTCGTTCGCCTCCTGTGGGAAGGGCAGGTTTGGTGAAGGGTAAAGGCTTACCAGCAATTGCGAGTTCGCTGTTTGGTAAAGCTCTCTTGGTGGGACAAGAGCATGGACCCAATATTTGCACATATGATTTTAAATTTGAAATACTACATCTAGTTTAACACTTAAAAATATATTATAATATATTAATGTAAACTCATAAATTACGTTATACATATTGGCATATCTGGTTATTTCTACGAAAACAATGAATTTTATTTTAAGCTCCTCAGTTACATGAACTGTTAATTTTATCGTCGGTATTCACTATTATTCAACGAATACTCGATAGTGTTGAATGGTTTTGAACTACCGTCAACCGCCGGCTTTTGGAAGTGCCATTGCGCGGAAAGTTGCGGTGTTGAAACCAATCCTGGATATGTACATTTATTCCATATCTTTTGTGTGTGTGCGTGTATGTGTGAGTTGATGTACGAGTGTTGTCGCGAGGAGGCTCGTGTCTTCCTGACCCCACTTCTGTGAAGCCTTCTAGTGCAGGGCTGCTAAAGTGGGCGGCCCACTTTTTTCCTTGGTCCAGCGCTTATACATAGCGCCACCCATGTGGCCCACTGCTTGTCGAGTCAGCCGTTCGGGAGAGGAAGCGCTCGGTCGTGATCGGCTCTAGTCTAGCGAAATGCAACTAGTACGCGGGCCACTGCAGGAGGTCCCTGCTAACAGACTGGTCCTAAGTCTTACATTTGTTTAACATTGCTGTAATGTATTAGTGTTTAGAATAGAGTTCCTGTATTTGACAAAAGTGACAACCAACGGCAATCGGTGTTCAAATCTACATTCACGGTACTGTCAACTTTACATTTCATATACTGGTACTGTATTATACTGATACTGTATTATTCTGTAACAATGAAAATTGGCGTAAATAATTACTTGGAGCTCGGTGTCTTTATGGGCAGCATCTGCTGACGGAGAGCTTTCGTGATTCTCCTCTTCCTCCTCCTCCTCTTCTTCTTCCTCTTCTTCTTCTCCTTCGGCCACTCCTCCCTCTATCTCGTCCTCCCCCTGGCCGTCTCCGTTGCCTTCTGCGGCGCCCTCCTTTTCGCTGCCCGAGACGCTCACCCCGCTGAATCTCGTCCGCTTCTTGAGAGGTTTTCTGGCAGGCGGCGGCTTCCCTCCACTCCCGTCCTCGTCGTCGGGCGACACCTCGGAGTTCGCAGAACCAAATGTATATTAAAATGCAATTTTTCTATGTTCGTACCAAAATTACGCTTGCCTACCACTACGCCTGCGTTTTCTATTAGGACATCTAAAAAGGGTAACGTCACCGTGAAAGACATATTTTTGCAGGACGAGTTTTCTTTACCGCGTTTAAAAGCTTTTTCGCACTACGATGACGAACGAAGATGGTCCTTAGTTACGATGGCCATGAAGAGTACATATGAAATACATGATTCTTAATAGAAGCACTTTTATACCATCTCAGAAAGGGTTTTCTAATATTATGAGAGCAAAATGATTATTTTTCGATTGACCTGCAATCTTAATTGTGCAAATACATCGCATCACGCGCTTAAAAAAAGAATCATTACATCGATTTTTACTCCTACAGATATTTTTTGATTGTATAAAAATTTTGGTTGCATTAATTATTTTTAAATTATAAAAAGTAATGTTGTATTTATGGAACAATTCGTGTTTTAAAAACATATTTCTTAAGCGTAAATATATTATAAGAATTAAAAATAAGAACAATCAAGTCAGCTTTAATAGAGTCATTGAAGTATCATAAACATCGTATCAAAAAGGCTGTAATAAAATATTAGTATTTTCGCGGTTGGCCTGTGAAAAAACTAGCCCTCTGCCGCCCACGAAGAGGCGAAGGTGGGGGAAAATTTGCAAATGTAAATGGGAAACCGCATTTTTTATAACTAGCTGATTACCCGGCATTGGTCAGGTGCTTATCGCAATCATATATTAAAGAACCTCGCGCTCCCCCGGCCGGCCATATCGCTCCATCTACCTCCGTTATTCTCGTGTTCGACTTTCTGCTCTATCTGCCCAGCCCCACCTAGTCGCACCGCCAGCTCCGTCCGTTACGCCTGCTTCTGCCCCTACCCCCAAGCATCGTCTGGCAACAACGTCGCGTGTATTGCGAGTATTGTTATTCCTACTATTATAGTATAACAAGATTTGGGATCACATTTTGAGGTCGAGAACCCCTTTATTCTTCGAGAACGTTCTTAGACAATTTTCGAAAAAAAATGGAGGAATGTTAGGCATCTATAACGCATTGTGTTTTAAGGTTCTTGAAGATAAGATAAATGTTGTGACAAGACGTATCGGTCCTTCTGAAATACTCAGGAAGAACTTTAGAACTAGTGATGCTGCCATAGCACATACTTTCTCGCATTGTGTCTAAAATGTTCCGCAACATTTTACTACTACATAAACCAGCAAATAAAGTAAACCAGCAAGTAAATGACCGATTCATGTAAAAAAACCTTCAACAATCAAAATATCCTTGAGTAACTCCCAAAGCCTCCAGTCCAGTGTATAACTAAAAATTAACACTTTTGTTTTTAATATAAATAGTAAATAAAACTATTCCACAATAATCTATTTTGAAGGGGGGACGGCAATATTGCCACATGTGTCACCAAGTCCATCTACGCTGCAGAACAGAAGTGAACCTACTGCGGTGGCGGTTGCTGCGTCGGGGGCTTCAGACACTTCGCTGGCCGTGGAGCGCTGCCGGTGCACGATGGCCGTGACGAGGTGCTGCGTGGTGGCTGCCGGCCCTTCCACGCTCGTCTGCGACAGTCGGCTACCGGGATCGAATGCCGTGCCCTGCTCCAGACGTACCTGCGGGGGAAAAACTGACATGACGCCTGCTTTGGCACCGTGTTCCCCTGCTGCTTGCTGCTGCAGCTGCTGGTGAATTGCCACTGAGACTATTTTATTCATAGTCATGTTACTCTATTCATATTTGTTTTTGATCGCGAATAGGCCAATCACGCGTGTATGCACCTTGAATTTACCGGGACTCAGTAACATTTTCTCGGTGGCAGGTGTGCATGTAATTTATCATAGGAATAGGATCCAATTTTTATCCTCCAGGATTGTTTGCCCTGGGGATATGGAAAATGAAATGATGATGATAGTGAGGGGTGGGAGGACAAGACACTCATACATTCACAAATACACCCATGCCCGCGGCGGGACTTGATCCGAGACCTCTACGACACTACTGCCGTAGCGATCTTGGCAATTGAATCTGCCGTATTCAAATTGATATTATTATTATTATTATTATTATTATTATTATTATTATTATTATTATTATTATATACATTATTCACAGTATCTACTGGTCAGTATGACAACCACACACAGGAATGATGACCAGGTGTGTGGTTGCTTTACTGAAGGTTCAGATGGCTTCTGACAATACGGCATGTATTCAAAATTACACACTTTTGCATATTATATACATTCCTGGCATCCAAGTGAAGACACTCCAGTGCCCGAAGTGTCATTTTTGGGATCACTCCTGTAGCTGATATTATTATAGGCACAGCTGTCACTTTACTGAAGTTCCACTGAGATGCGACTTCATGGGCGAGATCGGTATACTTGTGGATCTTCTCTTGATGTTTCTCCGATATGTTGTGGGTATTGGGTATTGATTATTATTATTATTGATTATTATTATTATTATTATTAAATTGTACCTAGTTCATGATGATGAGTGCCCAATCGATTGCCAAGCGTAGGCGAGTAAGGAGGCTTATACCTTGGAGTTTACTGGGCAGATGGTCACTGTGTGTATATGCCCTTGTCCTCTTTTATTTGAAGGCTGGCAAGGTGATCATGGGGATATGTAATGGTAATGATTATATATGGAATAATATTCCGGTGATACTGCTAATATTAGAAAGCAATCATCCCACTATCGCATTGTTATTTTCACAACCCCTTTCTTTACGCGGCATTCGAACCTGCAGCCTTTGGCCCTGCGTTCTCGGATGATGCATCAAGTCTCTGCGCCACTGTGCTCTTTGCGGGTGATGTGTTTGACCTCTATTATAGTAATATATTAATATATATTAATATTATATATTAATAGTGGAGTAGGATGTGTTATCTGTACACTATAAACACGTCCGCTCGCGACAAGTTAAAAGTCAAAACCCTCATTATTCTCCTATATGGTTATGTTGGAGGCAGAATCGTAGAGAATCCAGCCACTTACGATACCAGGATTTTGTTTAATTTTCTACAATTACTACGTTTTTTGTTTATAACGTTTTGCATTCCAGTACCTGAAGTAGCAAGCATTCAGCCCACACAAAAGGTAGACATACCAGTCAAAAAACATCCCGATGTCGCAATGGACTGTGGCATCTCCCGTATTTTTCTTACTATTCGGATTAATGTTGAAGAACTCACGTGGCGAGAGTCCTGCCGCCGCCGCCGACGCACTTCCTGCGACTCGGCGGCTGTCACCACCTCGTCGTTGTCGTCCTGCGCCAGCGCCTCGGGAGCCCGGTCGGCCCGCACGCGCGCGGACTTCGGCCGGCGCCCTGCGCGCCCAGCACACACGCCCGCATTACTCTCACATTCTCTACAAGATTTTTTTAAAAAAAAATTGTTGCGTCTGTTCTGACGCTACGCGACTCTAAACTCCTAGGATAGCGTCGAGGGCTTGCTTTTTATAACGAGTAATCCTCCGTTAACATGTTTTATTTGCAGTAATCCTCCGTTAATATTATGTAGGTCTGCTGTCGACTCTCGTCGTAGTCAATCGTCAAGTAGTCATTTCCGTGTACGCGCGTCCTACCACGCGTTCCTGCGTCACTACCCAGCGGCCAGAATCGGGAAGGTTTTAGGATAGGGTTAGGGTTTAGGACACTTCACAGGGGTTGCACCTCGTGAAGCAGCCAAACGCGTTTTGTCGGAATTAACATTTACTTACGAATGAGTTTTTCTTTTAGATGTATTTTTGGTTGTCGAACATTAATGATCGATTGATAAGAATTCTAAAAACTTATTATTTATAGGAAATACTTTATAAAATTAATTAAAACCTTATTTTAATGTGTAATTTGCTTTTGGAGGTCTGGTGGCAGGGTGTATTACTGTCAGAAAAGTAATTGTAAGAGCGATGTTTTCAAATGAAAACTAATGATAATAATTAATGTAATGATATATCTGCTAATTGTGCGTCATCAAATCAATGCGTCCATTTCGTGGCAAAGGCTAATAAATCAAAAAATCTTATCTGCGAATAAACATATCTGCCAGTGTTACAGTGGTGGAGCAATAAAGTATTGACTTCACTGCGAGTTTTTCTCATTTCTCGTACATCGATTTTAAACACAGGTCATGGACGTCATGGCCATAAACTGTGACTCATCAGCAGGCCTATTCATTTCTTCTGTCGCTAAGCCGTGTTTTTATGATGCGTTCTCCCTGTCGCAGTGCTAGTGATCGCGTGCGCGTGCCGACGTCTCACCGTGCGACACACATACTTCGGCAGCAGGCGCACAGCACTGCGCGAGTAGGACACGAGGGGGACGCTGATTTGATTAATTCTTTTGATTGATTAGTGTTTCCGGGCTACTTGCAAGGTCATCGTCCCTTAACTGTAATGCATATTTATCGCGATACGTGGCGATGATATTACCCCGCTGAATTGCGAGATCCAGTGCCGACCTACACGCCGTATAGCGGTGTTTTCCCCGACGAGGGATCTCCCACCAGTGAGCGCGACGCGACCCGCGACAAGCTTTAAACTTTCGACTGGTCTTCTGACATGTCTAATAGTATAGTGCATGTAAATGTTTGTGTATAAGTAAGGGGTGAGGATAGGACAAGGCAGAGGAATAAAGGTCGCTTGCGTTTCGTGGCCTGTTTGATAGGGTACTGTTCCAGCATCCGTCTGGTGTCGATCGAAGACACCACGGAAAAGTATCAATCAGACCAGCTGGACGCTAGTGTTTTCCATCCAAGAGATCGACCTTGCTATATAACTTATGTCGAAAATCCTGCCCCCATCGAGACTCGCAGAGTAGGACCTCTCGATCAAAGGTACTGCAGAGACATTAACATTTGAATCTGAATGTAACGTTTGGGTTCAACCATGAGAAATACGAGGAAGGAAATATAGCGCGCGTTTCGTGGCCCGTTTATTAGGGTACTGCTCCCACATTTGCCTGGTATTGATCGGAGAAACCACAGAAAACTACCGATCAGAACAACTGGCCGCTAGAATTCTCTCCCACAGAGCTCCACAGAGCGATATCTACAACTTCTTCGAGACAACGACAACTAGACCTAGCCATCCAGCTAGTATAAAAAAATCCCGCCACCGTCAGAACTTGAACCTACGACGTGCCGGTCAGAGGCACTACGGTGAAAATAGTTGATGCCCTGAGCCACCTTTCCCGGTCATTGCACATAACAGCAAACAGAAAACAGAGGGAGTAGACGCGACGAGCGGTACCTGTGGCCGGCCTGCGGCGTTTGTCGTCTGCGTCGGCCGCCCGCTGGCGCTCCCT